TACCCAAACCTGAATTCATTTCCTATTTTTCCTATAACCAACTGTCGCACACTTAGTGGCTTAAAACAACACAATTTTATTTTCTTAACAGTTTTGAAAGTCAGAGATTCAACATGGGTCTCATGGACTAAAATCAAGATATTGGCAGAGCTGTGTTTCTTGCTAGCGCCCCTGGGGGAGAATCTGTTTCCTTGCCTTTTCCAACTTCTAGAGGCGGCCAGCATTCCTTGACTTGGGTCTTTCTCATGTTACATCTCTCTCTGACCACAGCTGGGAAGGTTCTCTGCTTTTAAGGACCCTTGTGACTACACTGGGCCCACATGGACAATCCAGGATAATCTCTGCATCTCAAGGTCCATAGCCTTAATCATGTCCGGGAAGCCCTTTTGCTGTGTAAAGTAATGTACACACAAGTTCCAGGGACTAGAACGTGGACATCTTGAGGTGGGGTAGGGCATTATCCTGCCTACCAGAGGAAACCCCTCTGAGCCTTGGTTTCCTTATCTGTAAAATGAGGATAATAATAGCACCCACCTCCTGAGATGGTTGTGAGAATTAAATGAATTAGTACAAGTAAAGCATGTGGAAAGCATGTACCCTGTGCTCTTATTCCTTCTGGCCTCTGAGATAGCAGTCAGCAAAGCTGCTGCTTCTGGGTTGCAGCAACCTGCAGAAGTCACAGCTTCTTTAATACTGAATATTTGCTCAGAGAGGAGGGAAAATGTTACTAGGGAAAAAATTAACATTAACTCACATGGCTTGGATATCTTACTCCTGGGAGCTCTGTGATCTCTTGCCACAGGACAGAACCCATGGCAAATAACAGTCATTCTGTGAATAACAGAAACTCATATTTTGTTGATCTGAAATCGTAGAGATGAAGTTTGCAAAAAAAGTCACATACGATTTTTTAAACTGACAGCTACCACCATCCCCTGCAAAAAAAAAATAATTGATGTGCTAACAGGTTGAGCTAACATGCTCTGTGCCTTGGTGCAGGAATGGCTTCCTTCCTCCAGCCACAAATACCGTGATTCCAAAGGCTGCTGGAAACTGTCTGTTATCACATCACATGAGAAATGGACTCCTCTGGTTGAGGGGAGACCAAACTGAGAGGGATGTTTCGGTTTTGATGGCAGCTTTCGGGAAGGTGAAGAGATAGGAATTGAATAGATTTTGTAGCACAACCTGATTAAATTAAAGGTCTGGCAAATAAGTCCTATAAGAAAAAGTTAAAATAATTGGTTTCATTTGCCAGGAAAAGACAAGACTAAAGGATGAGTTTTAATCTTCCATATTAGATGAAAAGGTTTTAAATGAGGAAGATATGGTTCTGCTGCTTTGCATACCCACAGAGGATTAAAGGGAGAAACAAAGCAATGGGTGAAAGCTTGAGTTGAAACAGGAGACACTTGTGTTTATTTAGAAGAGGCTCCATGAGTAAAATGCAATCCTGAAAGTAGTGAAATCCCCAACTCTTGTCATTTTTAAGGGAAAAAAAAAACAAAACTAGTGCTGATATTTTTACTTATCCAATGTAAACATTCAAATTTATAATTTCAGTCCAGAGATACTGTCTCTTTGGGACAAAGAAAAGAGCTTTGCTTCAGCTATCTTGTTGTTGACCAGTCACTAAGTCATATCTGACTCTCTGTGACCTCATGGACTGCAGCATACCAGGTTTCCCTGTCTCTCACTATCTCCCTGAGTTTGCTCAAATTGTGTCAATGATGCCATCCAACCATCTCATCATCTGTCTCCCCCTTCTCCTCCTGCTCTCAATCTTTCCCAGCATCAGGGTCTTTTTCCAGTGAGTCAGCTCTTCACTTCAGGTGGCCAAACTATTGGAGCTTCAACATCAATCCTTCCAATGAATATTCAAGATTGACTTCCTTTAGGATGGACTGGTTTGATCTCCTTGTTGTCCAAGGGACTCCCAAGAGTCTTCTCCAACACCACAGTTCAAAAGGATAAATTCTTCGGTGCTCAGCCTTCTTTACGATCCAACTCTCATACTTGTACATGACTACTGGAAAAACCATAGCTTTGACTATAAGCAGCTTTGTCGGCAAAGTGATGTCTCTTCTTTTTAATATGCTATCTAGTTTTGTCATAGCTTTCCTTCCTAGGAGCAGTCACCATTCATAGTGATTATTCACTTACTGCTGAAACTTAGCTTGAAGGATTTTGATCATTACCTTGCTAGCATGTGAAATGAGTGCATTTGTATGGTAGTTTGAACATTCTTTGGCATTGGCCTTCTTTGGGATTAGAATGAAAACTGACCTTTTCCAGTCCTGTGGTCACTGCTGAGTTTTCCAAATTTCCTGACATATTGAGTGCAGCAGTTTAACAGCATCATCTTTTAGGAATAGTTCAGCTATTAGGAATAGTTACTTACTATTTAGGAATAGTTCAGCTGGAATTCCATCACCTCCACTAGCTTTGTTCATAGTAATGCTTCCTAAGGTCCACTTGATTTCACGCTCCAGAATGTCTGGCTCTAGGTCATCATGACTATCAGGGTCATTAAGATCTTTTTTGTGTAGTTCTGTGTACTTTTGCCCCCTCTTCTTAATCTCTTTTGCTTCTGTTAGGTCTTTGCCATTTCTGTCTTTTATTGTGCCCATATTTGCATGAAATGTTCCCTTGGTATCTCTGTTTTCTTGAGGAGATCTCTAGTCCTTCCCATTCTATTGTTTTCCTCTATTTCTTTGCATTGTTCACTTAAGAAGGCTTTCTTATCTCTCCTTGCTACTCTCTGGAACTCTGCATTCAGTTGGGTATATCTCTCCGTTTCTCCTTTGCCTTTCACTTCTCTTCTTTTCTCGGGTGTTTGTAAGGTCTTCTCAGACAACTTTTGGGTTATCTTAAGGACCTCAAAAAAGAAAAAAAATACTAAAAAATAAAATTGAGGGTTCAAAATTACACTAGTTTTCTTAAAAGAAGGAAAATTTTAGACATTCAGTCAGTTAATACTTATTGAATACTCAGTTTATTAGACATTAGGTCTGTTTTTTGGCAAACTTTTGATAATAAATTTGACATGTAATTAACTCATTCATTCCAAAAATACTTACTGAGTGACCACCTGAGTGCCAGGCACTGGAGGAAATGTTCCTGTTCTTACAGAGCTGATGTGCTGGTGGAGACAGACAAGAAATTCATAAACACGTGGACAGGTCATGGTTAAGACACTCTACAGTTGCCCCCTGAAGTAGAGGTTGTGATAGAATGACTAGGTGACTCTGATAGAACAGAGGGATCTAGGAAGACCTCTCCAAGGGGCTGAGTGACTAGGATCATTGTGCAAACAAAAGCTCAGGGAAAGCGCATTCCAGGCTGGGCAAACTGTCAGTGCAAAGGCCCAAAGGCAGGAGCAGCCTGAGAACCACAAAGAACCGAAGTGGGGTGGTGGGGAAGCCGTTGTAGCTGCTGCAGGTGGACCATCCATGAGCCAGCCATACACGATGCTGAGGCCCCAGGAGTCTTAAGCAAAGGAATGACTAGGTCTAATTTATATTTTTACTACATGTATCATCCTGGATGAGTCTTATAATACACAGTGGAAAAAAAGCAAATGAGTGAAGGCAAGTATGTGACTCCACTTGTATAAAGAACAAATGTGCAAAAATAAATGGTATCATTTGGGAATACATAGAAACATAATTTTAAAAAATGAATGGTAAACACAAAATTCAATGTAGTGGTTCCTGGGGAGGTCACAGAAGGAGGGGAGAGCAACTGGGAAGGGAAGACTTCATAGAGATTGATGGGTTCGAGTTCTCAGATTAGGAAGAGGGCACAGTGATGTTTGTCATAATACTGTAAATACCTAATATGTATATCATACAAGTAATGAGTCTCTATGAATGAAATAGTTCATTATCCAAATTGCATTTTTAAATGACTCCTCTTGTTGCTCAATGGCTGGATGATTACGAGACAGGAGTCAAGTCAGAGACAAAGTAGAAGCTGTTTCAGTAGTCAGAGGATGGGGGGAGGGAGGGAAAGAGGACTTTTCAGCTTGTGCAACAGGACACCTGAGGGGGTGCGGGGCCAGGAGGAGCAGGCAGAGAAGCTAGGCAGTCATGAATTAAGTGTCGGCCAAACCACAGGAGAAAATGTGTATTGAGTCCTGGTTTCCATACTATCAGCTACCCCTTGGGCATAAGCAAAGTATTATAGATAGTGGTGTATTATTTTTATAACAAGAGTCAAGCTGTGTTTCCAGGGGCTTCCCTGGTGGTCCAGTGTCTGAGACTCTGCGCGTAGTGCAGGGGGCCGAGTTCAATCCCTGGTCAGGGATCTAGACTCCACTTGCTGCAATGAAAGATCCAGCATGCTGCAACTAAGACCCCACATAGCCAAATAAATAAATTAAATATATTTAAAAAAAAAAACTTGTTTCTAGAACCACACAAAAAAAATAGTCTTCTAAATGTGGTACCATTGATTCTTTATTTTTGTTATCACTGGAATAAGCTATAACAGTTCAACCTTGTTGATGGAGAGGGGGAAAAGAAAGAGTTAAGTGCTGGGACTTCTCTGGCAGTCCAGTGGTTAAGACGCCACACTTCTACTGCACGGTGTACGGTGTACGGGTTCCAGCCCTAGTCAGGGAACTAAGATCCTACATGCCCCATGGTACAGCCCCTCCCCCTCATAAAGAGTTAAGTGTTGCCCATATTCATATGATATGGCTGTTGAGCGTGCACGTGGGAATGTCTGGTCGACAGCTGGGTGATGAGACTGGACTTGCAGGGAGAACCGGAGATCTAGAGCCAGTTGTCATTGCCCTGGAGGTGGTGGTAGAACTCAGTCTGGGTGGCTGAGGCTCCTTATGTTGTTCTCATAGATTTAGAAATGTCCTTGGGAACTCTAGTCACCCTCAACCCTCATATGATAATCGTTGCAAAATCAAAAAGAGAAGTGTGGCATTCTGAAGACTTTGTGTAGAGTAATTTACAATTTCCTCTTCCTATCTTTTCCCTTTTAAGATTTTAGAAATATTAATTTTCNTAGCTGTTGCCTGCGAGTTCAGCAGCTGAGGCACACGGGCTTAGTTGCCCCACGGCATGTGGGATCTTAGTTCCCCAACCAGGGAATTAAACCCATGTCCCCTGCACTGGAAGGCAGATTCTTAACCACTGGACCACCAGGCAAGTCAGTGATTTTCTTAAATACAACATTTCTCTCACTCATTTACCTACCGATTTCCTTTATTTTCCAGATATACCTTATAAGATTTGAAAACTGATGCCTACATAAGCCCTCTCTATATTTTAAAATCTATTTTCCTTCCCTGCTCCTCCATCTCTGTCTCTCTGTCTCTCTCTATGTCTCTTTCTCTCATATATATTATCAACTGTAGGAGATCTCACTAATCATTTGGGAAATTCCCTTTTTAAATATTTTTATTTATAATCCTCCCTTTGCCTCTTCTTTGCCAAGAAGATGACCCATCCATCCTGTTGTTTGCTCTGACTTTGAATTGGAAGATTTGCATTTGTGGTACTTATAGAAATAAATTTACTCTAGAACACATTCAAGTATGCCGTTGATCAAAAGAACAGAAAAGAAACTTTGTTTTCTTCCAATTTACCAGCCAGGGAGAACAAAAGCAAACTGAGAAGATGTACATTACCCAGAAAATATTGAAAATAAAGGGAATTTTTAATTTTCTTGAAAAAACAAAGTAAGATAACAGAATTAAGACCATACATATCAGCTTTGATCATAAAGATAAATGAGCTAAGTTTACCAAGTGAAAAAGAAAGATTTCCAAATTGGACTTCAGAAAAATTCCCCTATTGATTTTGAAAAAGATTCTAAAATTGGATTCAGCCTATTTGCTCTGGTTCAACTCCATAAGGATTATTGAAATAGCATCCTTTCTGATTGGCCCTTGCTGGTTGTGAAATATTTTGACTTCATATATAATTTCGCCTAAAGCAAGGTAACTCAGATTGAAAGTAAAAGAAAGCAGACGGTTGTGAATTTACCACATAAATTAAAATCAAGGCAGAAGCGTTCAGTGCAGCGGAGGGTCCTGGAGGCACACCTCTTGGTGCGTGTCCACTCAGTCGTGTCTGACCATTTGCGACCCCATGGACTGTAGCCCGCCAGGCTCCTCTGTCCATGGGATTCTCCAGGCAAGGATACTGGAGTGGGTTGCCTTGTCTTCCTCTAGGGGATCTTCCCGACCCAGGGATCAAATCCACGTCTCCTGAATTGCAGGAGGATTCTTTACCCTCTGAGCTGCCTGGGAAGCCCATTCTGGGTAGAACTGGAACTTAGAAGGGGAGGTCCTAGGGGACGGGGGCCTTCAGTAGACGGGGCAGCAGCTATTTCAGAAATACATTAACAGAAATACAAGTGGAATATTGCTCTTAGCTCATGGAAATAAGTAGACAGAAAAATATGTAAAATTAGAGAAACTGAATGCTTAATTTTGATCTGGCAGTTCTATTGTTGAACTCTAAATCCAGAAAGCAGAGAATACACCTTCTTTCAAGTGCCTGTGTAACATTTACAAAAGCTGATCTTATAATTGGCCGGAAAGAAATTTTTGATAAGTTCCAGGAAGTTGAAATAGTACAGACCACATTTTCAGATCACAGTGAGAGAAAAGCCGAAAATAATAACAAAAATAGAAACCAGTGAAGCCATACCACGTGGGAATGTTAAACACTACACTTAAACTGCAGCTGGGCTGAAGCAGAAACCTCAATTTCATTACAACATTTATTTCTTAAATTATTATGAAAACAATATTAAAACCTACAGTTTATGACTAATGCTGTATTCAGAAGGAAATCCATTGCTTTAAATATAAGTCAGTTAAGCACTCAACTCAAGAAGTCAGGGGAGGGCTTCCCTGGTGGCCCAGTGGTTTGGAATTCTCCTTGCAAAACAGGGGGTGCTAGTTCAATCCATGATCAGGGAAGATCCCACATGTCGTGGGGCAACCAAACCCGTGAACCACAACTATTAAGCCCATGCTAGAGCCATCAAGTCACTACTGACGCCCGCGTGCCTGGAGCCCATGCTCTACAACAAGGTAAGCCACTGGCAGTATGATGCAACTACGAAGTAGCCTCGAGTGGCCACAACCAGAGAAAACCTGAGAACAGCAGCGAAGACCCAGTGCACCCGACAATTAAATAAACAAATTAGTAAGAAGTCGAGGAGAAAGCACTGAAATAAAGCTGAGGACAGCAGAAAAAATCAGTTAGTAAAGGTAAAGGCAAAAGTTAACACAACAGAAAACAGGAAAGCAACAGACAGGTAAACAAGCCCAAGAATCAGTTCTGGTGAAGAACTAGGAGTAAACCGAGAAGGCTGACTTTCAAACATGGGTCAGTATAATGTTGGGCAAAAAATGGAACTGTTATAATGATAAAAGTAATACACATCTATTGTTGAGAATTAAGAAAACAGAAAGATACCAAGAAAATATAAAATGTTTTTATGTAAAACATAAAAATCCATGTAGTTGAGCACTGCAGCATGACATGATGGAAGTGTGTCTGGTCCTCTGTAGAAGGTAGTTTGCCAATAGATTTCAGAAGAACAGTAATTGTTGTCCTTTAAGTGTTTTTCTACAGATACCGGAAGAATGATATACAAAGATTTGTATTCAAGGATATTCATCACAGCTTCATTTTTAATACCAAAAAAAAGGGGGGGGGGATACAATCTAAATATCCAAGAACATGGAATTACCAAAATAAAGTATACATTTGTACAAAGGCCTACTCTCCAGCCAATAAAAATCATGTTTTAGAAGAATACTTACTGGCGTAGAAAATACTTACTGGCAATGGAAAACAGTTTCCTAAGTAATGTATATTGTATGATTCACATGTTATGATATATTTGTGCTTAGCAATAGAAAAATAACTATAAGTCTCAAATGTTAAAAATTATTTGAGGATGACTGTTGAGATGGCGGGTGACTTTTATTTTTCTTTCTAGGCTTCTCTGTATTTTCCAGTTTTTTTTTGAGTGAGCATGTACACTTGTATAGTTTGAAAAAATGAGTTTAAAGTTTATTCATAATCTCAGTGCTTAGAGATAACCACTGATAGTATCTTGATGTAGTTTCTTCTGGTTTTTTTTTTTGCTGTGCATATGTAGGTACTTTCTATTTTTATATCTACAGCATTAGAATGATACTGCATTATAATTCAGTATTCCCACCCATCCTCATTAACCATGCTTCCCAGCCAACCTCCTCTCTCATTTAGAACTCAACACCAGCCTAGAAATAACTTGGAGAGTTACAATAAACAGTGATTAATCAGGTGGTAATGGTGCATGCTTTGAAAATATAATGATTAACTCTAGCAACTGATAGTTGGTTTCACTAAAGAATTCTAGTTTTGTTTTTGTTTTGTATTTAAGTATAATTTAACATCAGATGGTGATTTAATAAGGTGGCCTTTACTGTTCTGAAGTTCTGAGAGGAAGGAACAGTGTGTTCAGCTCTTTCTCGGTTAATGATCCGTTTGGGAAACGTGGCTCTTTGGACCACTAGCCCCTCATCACATCACGGTCTAGTTTCAAGCCAAGTGTTTAAGAGGAAATCTAGATCCATCAAGAGCTAACCTTATAAACTGAAACCATCAAGTGGCATACATGTCTATAGATATTGTAAATTTCTGGACTAGCTAAAGTATGACTATTTTCATAATCTATAGAAAATGTGGAAAGTGATTGGGTCAAAAACATTTAAGATGAAGACAGTCCCAGCGGTAAGGGCCTCTTTGTTTAGGTAGATGGTTTATTTTTAGAATTTATCACCTGGTCTCTTCTGTTAATTATTACTTTTAACAGAGAGAAAATGCCTGGTTTGGAAGTATGTCCTGGTACCCTTCAAGTCAAAGTATATTTGTAGTTTTTGGAAAATTGGGCTTTTTCTAGTTGGCCACCACCTATTATTTTAAACACTGTACACACACACACATACACACGCGCGCGCGCGCGCTTTTCAAGAGCTAAAAGGAATAAAGCTCAGATATAGTATGACCAAGTAGATCAAAGGTAGTATTTCTTCATCACATTGCCTTTGACTTACAGATATTTGATATCAGGTAAAAATTATTTTTCAACTTTCTGTGGGTTTCAGCTAAATTATAGAATTATATACAACAGTAATTTCAAGGGACCTAAGACAAAAAGAGAACACTGTCTTCTTCCTGCAGAAAAACTATGTTTCCAGAAAATATTTCCTTGCTATCATATTGACAGAACCTTATCCAGTCACTTTTTCTTTATTGTTATTTGGAACCTATGGTCTCATAGAGATAGGTTTCTCTTCAACATAGAAAATAAATAGACATTGCTTATATAAATCTTAGACTTCTGGTTGACTCTGAGAAATGAATACTCAGCTCTGTGCTGTACTTTGTGTCTTTGTCAAAAAATATTTTTAGTGAAACTTCTAAGCCTTTACTAACAAAAAGGCTCAACAAGCATTGTTTTACAGTAGATACAATACAACATAGTAAAGCAATTATCTTCCAATTAAAAAATTAAGAGAAACTTTAATAAAAGGGCTCACGTGTAGACTTTAGTGCAACTCTTAATAAACTCACTGAGTGAGTTGCTTTTTCACTTTCCAGTCTTCTCATCTATTTGGCTTTAAGTCTTTTCAGTATAGTTTAGTGGTTATTTTCCCATTAACGTCACATGGGCAGTCTGCCTTTTCTTATCTCCTCCCCTCATTGTTTTTTCTCCTTTCTATCTACTAATAATTATAACCTCCGCAGCATCCTTTCAACAGTGAGATCTGGAAAATAAGCATCTTGCTCCAAAGATAAGAAGCACGTTGATTTAAGCAAATGGAAAGCCCAGCAGAGCTTGAGCAATAAGGCTACTGCTTGGCCTGCGTCTCATTCCTCCCTACACCTCTCACAGCAGTCTTCATTCTTAAAGCATACCAGGAGTATTTACTACTCTACCATATAAATTTAAGATATTTATTTGTAATTCTCTCTCAACTATGAATTTTATTTGTGTTTTGTGTTTTCTTTTTCAGCCTCGGTGACTGTTATTTCCGTAAAAGCTGTCTCAGGCATGATCACTTTTTCTGTGACGGATAAAATGCAACTAACTTATCCCATCTTCTATATCATGTGTATCATCATGATAGCATCTTGTGTTTTCCAAGTCAAGTAAGTTAACTCCTGCATACTCACTGATCTTTCAACATTCCTGTGCTTCCCTAAGCAGTAATCTGTATTGGCTTGAGATGATAATTAAAATTAGGTGCACCTGATTTCTGAGGGTGAGGGGGGGTCTAAGCTTATCCTCAGCCAATATGTCTGGCTTTATCCTTCACATCCAATAATAAGTTTTTGCGAAGCATTGCCTCCACATTTTGTGAGTTCTAAAGTGTGGCCGTAATCCAGCTAAGTGCACTTTGATACTTTCCTGATGCTCTTCTGCTTGTAATTAATATCCATCGTACACAGGTTGTCATTAGCAATAAATCAAAGGGGCAGGTCCACATCGAGGATTTCATTCTAAATATGGAAAATACATGAACCCTTCACCTTCATCTCTTAGCTCATGCTCATTAATTGCCCAGAGATAGACAAAACCAGACGTTTGGCTGGGAGGGAAATCCTTTCTCTAAAACTTTGCATCTTCAGCCAGAATTTTCTTTGCACCCATGGGATTGCAGAATGATCGTTTTATGTTTCTCTTGGGGCCTCACAGTGGCAACATGGAACATTTCTAATTTCTGCTCTTCTCTTCGCTCACCTCCATCGGCTCCAATTACTTCCCCTCCATTTCACATTGTGATTTTGCCTTCAGCTGCCTGATTCTCCTGAGTCTACCCGCTAGGTTTTTTGTTTACTCTAAAGTGCTATGCAAGTGCGTCAGCTGGGAAATCAGAGCCCAAGCCTGAAGAGAGTGGTTCCTGCCTTAGGTGCTGGAAGTCAAGTCTAATTGTTACGGGTTTACTATGGACCCTGTTACAAGGAGTGTGTTACCGGAGAAATCCAATGTCCCATCACTGTTTTGTGTGTCGTAAACAAACTGCTTCTTTCGTTTGTTTATAAGATCAAGTGTGTTTCTAATACTTGCGTCTTGCTATTTTGCTTCATCTCCCTTCTTCTGAATTAGTCAGTACTGTTACAATAGCTTTCAGAATTGAGTGATTAGCATCCTTAACTTGAAACTCTTGCTTCATGAATTCAAAAGCCAGATACAACTGAAGGTAAACTACATTCCTGTCTCCCTTGTTTCAGCCCCCACACCTTTCACACTAGAACTCTGTGACCGCAGCAGAACTGTGCCCCTGTGGTTCTCAGCCCTGCCTGCCCATTACAATTCTATTACCCAAGGAGGATTGTTTTTACATGTATGTATATACCTACCTGCCTGTATACATGCATACATATGTGTGTATTCCTGCATGCATGTATACACACACACACAAAGGAGCACTTGGGTTCTACCCACAAATTTTATCTCCCTGTTGCTCTAGAATAGGACCTCAGCATTAGTGCTGCTTTGAGTGTCCAGGTGATGCCAGTCTGGTGCACTGCTTCGGAAAAGGTCTAGTCCCTGGCAAGGCCACAGCGTGCCGTCGTGGGAACCTGAACCGTGCTGGCAACCAGAGTGGGAAGCCAGGCTCCCACATGTGCTCAGCAGCTGGAGGGCTGAGCGTTGTTTTTGAAACCTTAAACATTCCTTTGCTTCTCCATCTTCTCTCTTGGCACGTGGCATGTCAAGGGATAGCTCGACCATTCCCCAGATATGATATTTAACAGATTCTAGGGTCTATCCTAATGAATCAGCCCCAGTGTGATACCAGTCCAGCAGCTTGAATCGCTTCCAACTCAAACTTCTGTGGCCTCCAAAGATGATTAATTGCTTTTCATTGTTACTGTTGTTGGTTTAAACAGACCGTAAAACCTGACATCTGATCTCATACATCAGATGCATATAAGCTGTGACTGCTGATTGGAAATGCCCTTTCACTGCACTTCCTTCCACTTTGTAGTCGCAGCTAAAGAACATGCATTTCTCATTGTTATTGTTAACTTATGGTTGAGCGTCTCATAAAGACAGAGCTTCAGTACGTGTCTTCTGCTCTAGGCTCCTGAATCAAGCCACAAAACTCTACAACACAGCGACGGTGGTGCCCGTTAACCACATTTTCTTTACCGTCAGTGCCATAATCGCAGGTGAGTTTGGGCTTTTTACACTCTGGTGACTCTACCCCCATAACGAGCGTAAATGAAGTCTCACTCAGAATAATAAGGAAATCAAAGAATCTCTGCTTAGAAGGGATAAATAGCCCAAATCCTCCTAGCCACCCCCCAGTGTCTGAATTTCTCCCATAGCATCCTCTAGGAGAGGTTATCCTACTTTGCATGAATGTTCCCCAGAGCTCTCTGCCCCCCGGAGGCAGCTCAGTCCCAGTTCGAATCACTCGAATTATTTGGAGAGCTCTAATCATTAGAAGTATTGCCTGGTATTGTGGCTGAAATTAGCCTCCCTGTGAATTCAAGATGCTCATCTTAGTCCTGCTTTCTGGAGTCTTCTCTGTCAGTCCTTCTGATAATCAGAGCAGCGGAAGGGTCCTGCTGTGTCCTGTTTCTGGGTCAGACATCCCCAGTTCCATGACTCCTCTCCCTGGCCCTCACCGCCCGAATCAGAGAGTAGGGTCCTAAAGTGATCCAGTGCTGCACAGAAGGCCAGACAGACAAGAATAGGAACCACTACCTTTGCAGTTATGGCCTCTGTTTTTCTGCTCTTGCGCTTCTTCTCTTTCTATGGACAAGAATGTCCATAGAAATGTCTAAATATGTCAGACACAATACTATTACAAAAATATAAGTCTGAAACTTGGTCCAAACAAAAATACAGTAGATTCAGGTATGTCGCTCCTAAGTCTGATACTGGTATACCCTAGTTCTTTAGCTTATTGGATGTATTTTCTACCTGGTTGTATTAGGACTTCATTTCTCCATGCAAAATTTATGTATTTTGGAGGTAATGAGGGATTATTTTTACCTAATCGATATTGTTTCATGGCAAACAGTGTTCCTGCCAGTGGGAAATTTTTAAATGTAATTAATTAACTTATCATCTCCCAAAACTGAACCTTAATTTTAAAGAGAAAGGTTATATCTGAAGACATCTAATTTTTTCTTGCATTTTTGACAAAAGAAAGTAACAAAAGACTGTATATTTCTGTGCCCTAGAATTATTGACAAGGGAAAAAAGCAAGGCCAAAAACAGTTAGAGGCATGACATACAGCAGAATAGTTAAAATTACTGTGCTAAAGATGTGTAAAACATACAGTTCCCCTGAAAGGAAAGTTTTATGAGAAGATCAACAGTGCAGAATCTGAATACTTTGCACACCAATGAGTACTTAGCACACACACAATTGATGTGTCAGGGAAGCTAGAACTTTCCAGGAGTAATAACAGTTCATCTGATGTTACTGAAGTATGGAATGGAGGTGAAGCTTCTTGACTTACTTCTCCTCTTTGCCCCATCAAAAAGTATAGCTTAAAATTAAAATGAAATACCATATTTTGTCTGCTAAATTAGTAAAGCTTTTGTTTTCTTTTTACGGCAATAAGCAGTGCTGACATGAGTAAAGTGTTGCAGGCACTCTTGTGGAGTCAGGTACCAGGGTACCACCTTCCTAGAACTGAGTTTCATAGTTTTTATCAAGAGCCTTAAAAAATGTCTCTCCTCTTTGATCCTGCAACTCAAAAACAAAAAACAACCCAATTAAAAAATGGGCAAAGGACTTGAGACATTTCTTCAGAGATGTCCAACTGGCCGACAAGTACATGGAAAAAATGCTCAACATCCCTAATCATTAGGGAAATTCAAATGGAAACCATAAATCACCACACATCCATTAGGATGGCTACTAGCAAAAACAAAACAAAAACATAAAATAACAAGCGCTGGCAAGCATATGAAGAAATTGGAACCCTTGTGCACTGTTAGTGGGAACATAACAGTGGTGTAGCCACTATGGGAAACACTGTGACAGTTCCTCAAAAAATTAAATATAGAATCACCATGTGATCCGACAAGTCTATTCTGGGTATATGTCCAAAAGAATTGAAAGCAGGGACTCAAACAGATATTTGTACACCTAGGTTCCTAACAGCATTATCCACAGTAGCCAAATGGCAGAAGTGACCTAAATTGACAAATGAATGGATACAGAAAATGTGCCATATACATACAGAGGAATATTAGTCAATCATTAAAAAGGGACTTTTGATACATGCTACAACCTGGGTGAACCTTAAGAAGAACATTATCTAACTGAAACAAGCCAGTCATGAAAGGACAAATGCTGTATGATTCCACTTATATGAGGTATCCAGAGTAGTCAAACTTATAGAAATGGAAAGTTGAGTGGTGATTGCCAAGGACTGGAGGAGGGTGGAAATGGGGATCTGTTTAATGAGTATAGAGTTTGTTTTACAAGTTAAAAAAGTTCTAAAAATTGGCTGCACTCCAATGGGAATACAGTTGGCCCTCTGTATCCATATTTCTGCATCTATGGATACCACCAATAGTAGATAGACTATATCCCCTTCCCCCTAGAAAGGTTATATCTGAAGACATCTAATTTTTTCTTGCATTTTTGACAAAAGAAAGTAACAAAAGACTGTATATTTCTGTGCCCTAGAATTATTGACAAGGGAAAAAAGCAAGGCCAAAAACAGTTAGAGGCATGACATACAGCAGAATAGTTAAAATTACTGTGCTAAAGATGTGTAAAACATACAGTTCCCCTGAAAGGAAAGTTTTATGAGAAGATCAACAGTGCAGAATCTGAATACTTTGCACACCAATGAGTACTTAGCACACACACAACTGATGAGTCAGGGAAGCTAGAACTTTCCAGGAGTAATAACAGTTCATCTGATGTTACTGAAGTATGGAATGGAGGTGAAGCTTCTTGACTTACTTCTCCTCTTTGCCCCATCAAAAAGTATAGCTTAAAATTAAAATGAAATACCATATTTTGTCTGCTAAATTAGTAAAGCTTTTGTTTTCTTTTTACGGCAATAAGCAGTGCTGACATGACTAAAGTGTTGCAGGCACTCTTGTGGAGTCAGGCACCAGGGTACCACCTTCCTAGAACTGAGTTTCATAGTTTTTATCAAGAGCCTTAAAAAATGTCTCTCCTCTTTGATCCTGCAACTCAAAAACAAAAAACAACCCAATTAAAAAATGGGCAAAGGACTTGAGACATTTCTTCAGAGATGTCCAACTGGCCGACAAGTACATGGAAAAAATGCTCAACATCCCTAATCATTAGGGAAATTCAAATGGAAACCATAAATCACCACACATCCATTAGGATGGCTACTAGCAAAAACAAAACAAAAACATAAAATAACAAGCGCTGGCAAGCATATGAAGAAATTGGAACCCTTGTGCACTGTTAGTGGGAACATAACAGTGGTGTAGCCACTATGGGAAACACTGTGACAGTTCCTCAAAAAATTAAATATAGAATCACCATGTGATCCGACAAGTCTATTCTGGGTATATGTCCAAAAGAATTGAAAGCAGGGACTCAAACAGATATTTGTACACCTAGGTTCCTAACAGCATTATCCACAGTAGCCAAATGGCAGAAGTGACCTAAATTGACAAATGAATGGATACAGAAAATGTGCCATATACATACAGAGGAATATTAGTCAATCATTAAAAAGGGACTTTTGATACATGCTACAACCTGGGTGAACCTTAAGAAGAACATTATCTAACTGAAACAAGCCAGTCATGAAAGGACAAATGCTGTATGATTCCACTTATATGAGGTATCCAGAGTAGTCAAACTTATAGAAATGGAAAGTTGAGTGGTGATTGCCAAGGACTGGAGGAGGGTGGAAATGGGGATCTGTTTAATGAGTATAGAGTTTGTTTTACAAGTTAAAAAAGTTCTAAAAATTGGCTGCACTCCAATGGGAATACAGTTGGCCCTCTGTATCCATATTTCTGCATCTATGGATACCACCAATAGTAGATAGACTATATCCCCTTCCCCCAAAATTCCAGGATATTCCAGAAAGCAAAAATTAAATTTGCCAAGTGATGGCAACTGTTCACATAGCATTTATATTGTATTAGGTGTTATAAGTAATCTAAAGATGATTTATAATATTTGTGGAGGATGTGTATAAGTTATATGCAAATATTATGCCACTTTATATAAGGGACTTGGGCATCCTCAGATTTTAGTATCCACTGAGGGATCCTCCAATCAAATTCTGTGTATACTGAGTGATGACTGTATACTTAACACAACTGAACTGTATACTTTAAAATGTTTAGGATGGTAAATTTTATGCTATGTATGCATGCATGCTTTGCATGCTCAGTCATGTCCAACTCTTTGCGACTCCATGGACTGTACCCTGCCAGGCTTCTCTGTCCATGGAATTTTCCAGGCAGGAATCCTGGAGTGGGTGTCTTTTGCATCTCCTGCATTGACAGGTGAATTCTTTACTACTGCACCACTGGGAAGCCACGTTATGTGTATTTTACTACAATTTTTGAAAAATGTTTACTCTTGAAGACAGAAATTCCTCTTTAAGCGACAACAACAACAAAAAAATACTAAAATACCAGGAAGAAACATGTGCAAAGAAGTTTATTAACATCACAAAAGCAAAAGCGTTTGAAGCAATTTAAAATGTCCTTCGAGAAATGAATATTATGGGGCACCAGCTTAGAATAACAAGAAAACATTCAAATGACTCCAAGGACGTGTGTAATCACAGGGAAAAATGCTTCAGCAATGTTGATTCACTCAACAAAGATCCACCAGAATGGGACATGGCTTGTTCCCGCAGGAAGTGAGGAGACAGCCCTCAGAGTAGAGAAGCGGCCCGTGTTGTTCTCCGTGGCGCCTGCAACACCTCAGCAGCAGCTGGCACTCACAACTCTCAGTAAATACTTGTCGACAGGATCGCAAGGCTACCACCACACACGCATACACACAAATGTGATTCCAGGTAGTAGATAATTAAAAGATAACTTATTTTTGGACTTCCCTGGTGGTCTAGTGATTAAGAATCCACCTCCCAATCCAGAGGACACAGGTTCGATCCCTGGCCCGAGAAGATTCCACAGGGCAACGCGGCCCTTGTGCCGCAAGCGCTGAGCCCAGGCACCCCAACTGCTGGGGCCCACATGCTCTAGATCCTGTGCTCAGCAACAAGAGAAGCCACCGCAATGAGAAGGCCGTGCACCGCATCTAGAGAGTAGCCCCTGCTCGCCGCAACTAAAACAAAAAAGGTAGCTTATTTAGTTAAAAAAAAAAAAAAGAAAAAGTCTGCGAAGGCTTTGGGATCATAGGCCAAAAGGGAATCATTGATACTAAGACGGAGAGAAGGAGAGCTCATTGGAATAAAGGACAGATGCACATTTCCCTTCACCCAGAAGGAAAGAGCCGCAGAGGGAGATGGGAGAGGGGCTGGCAGTGAGAAATGGTGCTCAGGCAGCATGTTAGCATCCTCCAGTGCACACGTGAGCCTGTGATCAGACCTGCAGACCGCAGGGTGATGCCAAGGCCGACAGCGTGGGGAGCAGCTGGCCCGAAGTGCAAGTGCTATGTGAAAGGGCCAGCATCCACCCAGACGCTCAGGTCAGGCTTGCCAACCCACAGCTTAAACAACTGGTGGTGGGAAATGTCACTCTTCTTGCATGTTCCAGTGGGACAAATCTTGGACTGGATAAAAAAATTTCTGTTGGCAAAAGCTGTGTTACTGGTGCCGATTTTATAATAATGATATGTACATTATACATTATGTAAAGTCTACAAATCTGTGTTCTTTGCAGTCATTGAAAATGTTAGTATTGCATGCAACTATTTTTTAAAGTAAGCTACTGAATGTGCCTTTTTAGGGCTTCCCTGGTAGCTCAGTGGTAGAGAACCCACCTGCCAATGTAGGAGATGTGGGTTTGATCCCTGGGTCAGGAAAGTCCTCTGGAGAAGGAAATGGCAACCTACTCCACTTTTCTTGCCTGGGAGAATCCTATGGACAGAGGAGCCTGACGGGCTACAGTCCATGGGGTCGCAAAGAGTAGGTCACGACTTAGCAACTCAACAGCAACAACTGGATGTGCATTTTAAGGGTAACTATTTACTTTGAAAAAAATAATATTGTAATTTGAAAAATAATATGTAGCTATTGTAAATATTCTTACCCTAAAATTAATTTTATCTTCTGTCACTATTGTAGGTATCATATTTTATCAGGAGTTTCTTGGTGCAGCTTTTCTCACTATATTTATATATCTTTTTGGGTGAGTAAATGTCTCAGAGGTAAGGTATGTGAAATCCTATTACTTTTACGTGAGACTTTTGGCATTGGACCTGAGGCATGGAAAATTGGAAAATAATATAAGAAACATCAGTTTCCTGAGCTCAAAAGAAGCATATTTTTCAACTTAACACCCTACCCAGAGCTCAGTGTCTTTGTGATTTAAATATCTCTGTGAGAGATCTGAAACACTCAGGATTTTCAGTTCCAGCCAAAGTCAAGGTAAATCAAAGGCCCTTGTAGCGACTCCACCTTTTTATACTCAATCAGACCTATCCCAGCCTTAGGAACCATTAGCTTAGATCTCAATCAGGGAACCACAGATGCCTCTAGGATGATAGGATGCAAGGCCAAGACTGGGGCAGATCTCTGCCTTGAGACCTACTAACATCAGATTGGTGCCATCCCTCTCTTGGGTCTAGGTGCCCAGCTTTAACCCTGCCTAGGAATTTGCTGGACAATCACTGCTAGTGTTCTGGCAGATAGAGAGTAGAACCTTGACAGAATATCACCGATGTAGTGATTCTTCCATTGGTTCCCACCTGGAACTCTCTGAATGCTTAGTTGCTTCTCAATGTGGTATTCTGCATGACCATTGTTATGCAAACTTGAGCCCAGACTATTTTTAACATAGAAAGCTATCTATCTTGAAAATTCAATTTTGTGAGATTTTTGGGCGAAGTTAAACTTCTGGGGTCTGGAAACTATGACTATGCTTATGGCCAAGGACAATGAAATTTCTTAGAAAATTAAAGAATAAATTATTTTTTTGCTCGTGTTGCATGCCAGTAATGGGTCTGAGCATGCATGGATAGAAAATGAGACTTAGTGTCTACCCAAAGGGTTTAGAGCCTGAATTAACCTCCAGATGGTAAAAACCTGGGGCAGAGACTTACTGGAAGCTGCCCAGGTCTTGGTTCTGGGGACAAATATTATTGGCTGCAGCAATTAAGACAATTTCTAGGCAGCTTACCATGAGAAACAGAAAGAACAAAACCAATGGAATGTATGTCATCATGTAGAAGATGGAGTTCAGTTACTTAATACCATGCATTCAGTTATTTAATACAGTGACCTTGTGTTCTTTATTAACATTATTCTTACAGGTGTTTTCTGTCATTCCTTGGTGTGGTTTTGGTCACAAGAAATAGAGAAAAGGAACATCTGCCACAGTCTTACATTGATTTTGGAAATGTTCCCGGTAAGATATATATTCCTTAATTTATAATAGAAAATTGTATCCTACAAATGAATTTTTGCTGGTATGATTTCTGGAGTTAAATTAATATAAAATGCAATTCTTACCCTCAGAAAATGTACACTTAATGATGAAAGCAGAGATGATAGTTTAACTGTAAATGTTAATAATTATTTATTTGATTATCAGTTTTGCACAGAACACTGGGGATAGAAAAGAACCGACCCTGTTTTCTTAATTTGGGTGATAGTGAGAATTTCCATTTTGGATTTCCTTAAATTGGAAAAGGGTAGGGAAAGGAGTGGGAATGGCAGGAACAGACCCTTGTTGCTTGGAGAACCTTTGAGGGGGATTCTACATCTAAGACCAGAAGCTTCGGAATATCATCCCTTCAGAAGCATGAGGTGGCACTTGTACTGGGTCCAAGAGTGACATTCTTCTTGGTCACCTGAATATAAAGAGCTTCTTCCCCTGTTCCTCACTTCATTCATCCAGAAGGGTTTAACATGCATCGTCATCCCAGCTCTCCACTCCCACTGAGAATAACACTTCCGTGATGCAGTCTTGGGGCTTCCCTGGTGTCTCAGATGGTAAAGAATCTGCCTGCAATGCAGGAGACCCGGGTTTGATATCTGGGTTGGGAAGATCCCTTGGAGATGAGAAAGACTACCCACTCTGGGGGGGTTTCCCTGGTAGCTCAGCCGGTAAACAATCCACCTGCAATGCAGGAGACCCCTGTTCAATTCCTGGGTCAGGAAGATCCCCTGGAGAAGGAAGAGGCTGCCCATTCCAGTATTCTTGGGCTTCCCTGGTGTCTCAGATGGTAAAGAATCCAGCTGCAATTCAGGAGACCTGGGTTTGATCCCTCGGTTGGGAAGGTCCCCTGGAGGAGGGCATCAACCCACCCCAGTATTCTTGCCTGGAGATTCCCATGGACAGAGGAGCCTGGCGGGCTACAGTCCATAATGTCGCAAAGAGTCAGATAAAACAGCGACTAACACCTTCACTTTCATGTAGACCCAACAGAAGCGATGTCCAGAACAAAGGAAACGGGCTTCTGTGTCCTCACTTCCTCCCCTGCTCACCACCCCCAACAATCTCTGGCTTTGCTAGGGGTTTGGGGTGACCTGTAGGCTTCTAGAAGGCTTCCCTGGTGGCTCAGATGGTAAAGCGTCTGCCTGCAATGTGGGAGACCCGGGTTCGATCCCTGGGTCAGGAAGATCCTCTGGAGGAGGAAATAGCAACCCACTCCAGTACCCTTGCCTGGTAAATCCCATGGACAGAGGAGCCTGGTATGCTACAGTCCGTGGGGTCGCAAAGAGTCGGACTCCACTGAGAGACTTCACTTTCACTTTCATAGACATCTAGACGAGGAGTGGTGATGTTCTCACAGGTTACTCCACCAGGCAGTTAGGACCAAGCCTTTGAAGCAAAAACCATTGAAACCTTGTGCCTGAGAGAAAATAGCCTGTGTTCTCTTTCCCGTTTGAACCGTCTTACCAGCTAAGAACATTCAACGCAGGAATCAGCATTTGTGGCAAGGGCGTGCCTTAGAGATGCCTTCTATGGTTAGGGGTTCTTTGGTAGGAAATGAAGTTTACTTACTTTTAACTCTTTTTCATTTCACTCAGTTCTATATGTAGAATCAGTAAGAACTTTAGAAGCCATTTTGAAAGACTGTTTTCCTCTGTTGTTTCATGCGTTAGACTAAACATAGGCCAGGAGGCAGAACAGTGGGGAGAGAGGTTTGGAGATGCGTACACACTTCATGTTAGTCTCCTGACTGATCCAGCCCGATTTCTGTCCCCAGCATGGTCATGTCCCCGAGCACACTCCTCGGGGTGTGCTCACGCAGACAGCCACGACCTGGGCCTTTCTTCCCTGACGTATATCTCTTCTATTTAGAGGGCAACCACATTGTCCTTTTTAAAAAAGGAATAAAATGTGGCCTAGATAGAGGAGAAATTATTAAGACTTATTATTCTACAAGAGCTCAAAAGATTCTTTGTGATTATTATCTCCACAGGGAAACAAATGTTGGATAAGATACAACCAGATTCAAGCGGCTTATCCTATGGAACTCTGCCTGATGGAAGTGACTCCATAAAGAGCCCGAGTGGAGAGAAGAAAGGGGTCTGAGACGCCGAGAGGGATGGCTGTGGGCCTGTGATTCAATACCGCTTTTTAAAATATTGCACATGTTCAATTTATGTCAGCAGCTATTTTATGCTGACATGTGCTCGCCTTCCTTTCAGTCCCTGACCCCCACCTCCATGTCCATAGACGATCAGGGCCTTCCTAAGCTTTGACAGTCTAAGATTTTCATGGAATGTAATTTGAAGTGTTCCCCGCACCCTGGACCTCTCTCCCTGGTGATCATCTAACTGGTTAGATCTTAATTACAGCCTGGCTGCCCAGGCAGAAATGTCACACAAAAATGTGCATTGACGATTTGGCTGCAGAATGCGTAGGTTGCTTTTCCCATACAGCTTGCAAGGTCAGTTGCTTTGCTTTAAAGAGACACTTTAGTCCCACAACCTCCTCCCTAAACCAAAGGTTTGAAAGCATTCATTTTTCCTTAGACATCTTTTAGGAAGCTTCCCATAAAGATTTCACTTTTCTGTTCCCAAATGAGAGTGGTAAATCATCTTTTCTGAAAACGAGCCCTATCGTATTTATCCTTTGAAAAGTAAAGGTTTTTTTTTTTTCATAATTAAGCATCTGTGTTTGACTACACTTATGTCACTCTTTCACTTTCATCTTTCCTTTTTTTATTGGAGTATAATTGCTATACAGTACTGTGTTAGTTTCTGCGTACAGTGAAGTGAATCAGCTATGAAAGTGAAAGTCCCTCAGTTGTGTCCCAACTCTCTGCGACCCCCATGGACTATACAGTCCATAGAATGCTCCAGGCCAGAATACTGGAGTGGGTGGCCTTTCCCTTCTCCAGGGGATCTTCCCAACCCAGGGATTGAACCCAGGTCTCCCACATTGCAGGCAGATTCTTTACCAGCTGAGCCACAAGGGAAGCCCAAGAATACTGGGGTGAGTAGCCTATCCCTTCTGCAGTGGATCTTCCTGACCCAGGAATTGAACCGGGGTCTCCTGCATTGCAGGTGGATTCTTTACCAACTATATGTATACATATAGCCCCTCCCTCCTGAGCCTCACTCCTGCCCTCCCATCCCACCCCTCTGGGTCATCACGGAGCACTAAGCTGAGCTTCCTGTGCTTCATAGCAGGTTCCCACTAGCTATCTATTTTACGCATGGTATAGTGTATATATGTCAATCCTAACCTCCCGATTCAGCCCACTTTTCTCTTCCCCTCCATCCTGCCCCCTGTCCATATGTCTGTTGTCTGCATCTGCACCTTTATTCCTACCCTGGAAATAGGTTCATCTGTACCATTTTATAGATTCCACATATATGTGTTAATACATAATACTTCTTTTTCTTTTTCTGACTTACTTCACTCTGTATGACAGATTCAAGATCCAGTTTATACCCCATTTGATGATGGGGTATACCAAAACCAGAAGACCTTGGCTGGTGAACTTTTTAAGCTTAAGAAAGGCAAAACTTAAGAATTAGTACCAAAAGATCATTCAGTATCAATTTTTTTTAAGTAAGAGTGTAGAGCACTGATGTTTTCTTCAGCATATGATCCTATTATACTTGAAACTGAAGAGAAACTTCATATCCTATGCCTTTATTTGTTTAGATCTTATAATTCATCAAGTGGGTTTTTAATGTTTTAACTTTCAACGTTAAATCTCAAAAATCATATTTAAATTTTTAGTGATATTTTCACGAACATTCCATCTTTTCCTCAAGTCATTACTTCAAGTTTTAGAATAAAATCCTTCTAGGTAAAAGAACTGTTACGATTAGAGAACTGGACTTCAGCCATTTTCAGTCTGCAGACATAGCACACAGCTAGGTGATCCAGCCTGAGTCCAGTTCAGGTCCTCCTATACCCTGACCTGAATGGCCCTTCTGCTGCCATAGACGCAGGTCTCCTAAGACATATTTGCAAGTAGAGTCCATAATCATATCTGTTATTATTTATGATCTCCTAATATTGAAATGAGAAGAAAAGAGCTAGCCTTCATTGTAAGCAACATCAAATAATAAGCCCCATCCTTAATGACATTTCAAAACCTTCAGATCACACGCCAGTCCAATACTGTTCCAGCCAGTTGTCTTGCATTTGTTTGGTTGTTTAATGCAGGGCTATTGAAACCGTAGTCTCAGCTGCTTTAAGGTCTTTAATTTTTGTTCTTTGTCATGGCCTGCACTCCTGACCAGACCAATCAAACCTGGCCACAAAGGTGAGATTCAAATCTATCACTGAAGTATGAATAATAAGCTAGAGCCCATGTCTGGCTTTTGAACTCCTGGTAACAATTCCTGCCATTGTAGAAAGTGTCCCATTAATTCAAATAACGTAGTCATATAATTTATGGCATGCTTCACTGAATTGGTCCAGCATGTCAGCGTTGGAAGGCTCGACTAAGAAATGCGTCTGGTGTCTTAAACTACAGATTTCTGGTGACTCTTACGACTGGTTTCAAATATTTGGAAAATAATTAGACAGAAGAGTTTGACTTGAATTGGGACTGTATTTATAGCTACAGCACGTGGTTTTGCACATTGTAGAATTTTGCACAGAGACAAGCATAATGCCAATACTTAGTGGTCGCCAACATTTGTATCTTTTAAAAGTTGTAAGAAATGACATTGACTTATGCACACAGTTGGGCAACCCAGAAATGCTTTAGAAGTGTAGGTAACATATAAAATACAGTTAGGTAACATATAAAATATAATCAGACCTAATTTTACTTTCCATATTGCTTCTCCAAAGTAAGGTGAATAGGAGTTTTACTTGTACCAGCTTGTAAAGATTTTTTAAATTATGCACTGCGTGACAACAACCAAAGCCAATCCAGTCCTTCTCTTGGCATTGTGAGTTGGGGACCTTTAGCCAACACTTGGCTCAGCTGACTGTCTAGACCAGGGGTCTGTGAACTCTTCCTGTAGCAACAGAGAGTAAATATTTGGGAGTTTTGCTGGCCATACGCTGTCTGTCGCAACCACTCAGCTCTCCCGTTGCAGCACGAAAACCGCCATCGACAAGACATAAACAAATGAGCGTGGCTGGTGTCAGTAAAACTTTATTGACAAAAGCAGGTGGCCAGTTCATGGGCTGTCGTTTTCCAACCCTCAATCTAGACTGCTCTGCCCTTGCTGTGCAAAGAGTTTGAAAAACAGATTGGATACAGTGGGAGTGTTAGCCATGTGTTGATACTGACTTTAGCATCTTGTTGCTTGTGTAAGATACACACAGAAGCAATGAGTTCATCACTGGTGCCCGAGTTTTTCTCTCTCAAAGGCAGTGGTTCTTTTGTGAGCACCACCAGCTGCACCGGAGGAGCCTCTCCAGTCCCACACTCCGAGTGGGTAATTGCTTCATAAACGAGGAGCAGTCACCTCTCATGCAATGGGTTAAAGCAGAGATCCTTACCATCCGATTGTTTTCAGTCTAGATGTTTGCTTGCCCTGTGACTATACTACTTTCGTCACCAGAGTCACTTGAAAAAATAAAAAAATGTCTCAAGCAGTGACTTGAGAATGTAGGTTTCAATCCCTCAACCCATCCCCACAAGCTCCTGGAGATTCTGCTTTGTGGCAGAGAAAGAAAGGAAAAAGACAGATTTTGTAGATTGATGTCATTTCAGTACTATTGAATGAATGATGGTGATAATGTGTACGTCTGGCTCCAGAAGAAGCAGGTGCAGTGGTGGACATGGCTCAGATGGATAGAACCATTGAGCCAAATTCCTGAAGCCAAGAACCCTCCTTATACTCCCTGTTTCGAAGCACACAGATCATCCAGGGGTGGTGACTATACAGGCTCGCCCACACCGAAGGCTGCCTCCTACTTGCCAATTTAATAGTGATATTGTGGACATAAATACAACCAGTTATTAAAACGAAACTTTCCAACACCCTTCCAGACTGCTTGATTTAAATTCCAGGACTGATTATAGAGCCGTCCTTGAACTGGGCAATGGCAAACCGAATGCACATGTCTGGCACCAGCCAATGTGAGTGCTTTAGTGAGGTTGCTAGATAAACACCACACAGTTTGAACTTTTAGAACAGGATCTCAGAATTGAACCCAAGATGACTGTGTTGGGAAATTTAGAAGCTGCTTCTAATTGTTAGACTCATCAACAGTCTGACTCCTATTATGGCCATCTTGAAGTTAAAAAAATAAAATAGAATTCCACATATATGTGGTTTCCATGCAAATACAGACCAGTCTTGGGCTATTAAATGTGGTGTTTTAGTAATTGTGGTAAATACAGGGTAGAGCCTTCCACCCAGGAATTCTTGAGTCTGTCCCCTTTCTCACCAGCCTCAGGGTACCACACAACATGCTATGCCATGCCAGCAGACCAAATCAGTTACAGGAGCTGTGGCCCGTCCAAAGAAACATTTATTTTTTTTTTTCTAGAAGAGGAGGAAACTCCGCCTTCCACATTGGTCCTTACTGAGAGTTAATGAGTCCCAACCACAATGTAAAAAGAGGAATATCAATCCCAATATCAAATAAATGTGATACTTCAAGGGCGTGGGGGGGCACGCAGCCGGGGCGGATGCCGCCAAGAATTTCACGGGGTTCCAGGCAAGATGCAAGATAGGCTTTGAGTTCCAGGAAAGAATCTGCTTCCCAGGGAGCTGGCAAGTGCGTGTAGCAGGGCAGGAGCCCATCCGTCCCTGAGCGACCGGCACACGTGGACCCACGCCACTTCGCACGCGTGAGCCGCTGCCCTGCAGACGCGAGCTAATCCTCCCGGGGCGCGCGGCCCGCTAGGGGGGCCTCTCCCGTCATGACTTTAATCTGAAAACCAACTCAGGGGTTTTCTGAGGCTCTGGGCTCTACTCCCGCTGTCCAGAGCACCTCACCTAAATCTGCTCAACACTGAACGCGAACGAGGAAATGAATCCGTTCAAGAAGTCTTGATCCAGGCCCTCGGAACTTGACTCGTCTGCCTGGTGACAGACACCAACCCAAACTACACGCCTCAGACAGCAAACCCGCCTTAATGTCCTCACACATAATTGATCACATGCTCCTTTCAATGTGTTTAACGTTATTAGAAACATAAAAACGAATCAGACATGAAGACTTGGGGAACTTAGGTCAGAGAATGAACAGCTTTCCTCCCTGGAGCCCTTACTGTGTAAGTCTTAGACTTTGACCTTCATTCAGTTCTTATCATCTCTCTCTCTCAGGGAGGTCGCTATCCCTAGTTTACAGGTTAAAAGACCAGGGCGAGAGGCAGGGCAGGGGCAAGGGTAAGGCGAGAGAGACGCCTGGGGCACACAGTGTAAGGAGGCTTACGGAAAGCTCCCTCCCAGGACAGAGAGACGGCCGACTGCACGTGCAGGCCCGCAGGGTGGGGGCCCCTCAGCGCTGTGCCCCGGCTGCCTCTCTCTGCCCTGGCCCTGGCTGGGGGAAGTTAAATGACTTGACAAGAGCCATTCAGCTGACAGGTGGCCCGGCTGGGATTCGAACCCAGGACGACTCTGCAACCCACACTCTTACCACTAGTACCAAAGTATCTAAATTGCATAGTAGAATGTCAAAGGGCCTTTAAGAGTCTTGAATAAAGGGCTTTGGAACCCGAACATGAAAAGGGTCACTTATGGCTAGGTGACAGT